GATATGAAATGAACTAACATTTCGTTGTTCAGTTCATTTTCGTTGTTTATTTTATTTGTATCACGCTTCGCGGAACCGAATACGAATCCGAAACTAATAGTGAAGAATACAAGATGGCGTCCATGAGAAACATTTCTGGCATGTCGATTGGACACAGACGTAAAATACTGCGAAGACACGAAGATCGCATTGATACAGGTAATTACTAGAACTTAAAACTCAAATTACAGTTCGGTAATTTCACATTGTTTCACCATCCGCGTTATTTTGTGACTAGTTCAGGGCCGTAACGGCGAAATGTATAGCCTTGTTTTGCTTTGATTTGGGGGTTGAAATAGTGGACGGGGAATTTGTGAAGTCCAATCGGTGAGTGTAACTCAATTTTCAATCTTTATTTGAATGTATAAGCAGTGTTATTTTGCTTAGTGTGTCTATCAGGTGTGTGAAAACAATTACTTTCAAGTACCTTCCATGGTTGCAGTAAACAAGGCGACGTTAGGGTTAGACCATTTAAACTCGGGGGTAGAAGATTTGTTTAAAAAAATACAAGCTACGGTAGTCAACGAGTGAAAAACAAATTGCAAGTAAGGTGTTGCAGGGAAACAGTGTTGGTGCATTCTAGAAAAATAAAAGGTGCAGACAAGACAGCGTGACAGCTTCCAGCCACCCCCACGATTTCAAATGGTTGGTGCCTTATGGCCAAGAAGCTACAGGTTCATGTATAGTGTGAGGGGTCTAACATTTGAACTTTTACAAATTTACACTCTGCATTTTCATAAAATCTACAAGTAGAGAGAAACACTATATGAGGAAAAAAATTGACCGCTCTCATGAGAGTGATGAGGAAAAAATCGCAAATAATGAATTTTCTCTTCCTTCAAAGTCAAAATTGTTAAAAAAAAATGCTCCAAACTGAGGCCATTTACTTCACCTTTTCAGCATTAAACAAAAGTCTTATTTCTGCAACCAGACTGGCTGTGCTATCTTGTATTGTTTTGTCTCAGCTGCCTATCTCATACACTTACTTACTGATGCTTGATGGTCTAAGGAATAGTGACATATAGTAATGGTTTATTAATAGAGATACATATAAAATGTGTCCATAATAAAATATTGATCATAAAACTACATAACATTTTATATATTTTATATATTTTCGTTGAAAATAAAATCTAGCGAATATACTTTTTTTCCTATATTTCACATTAAACTCATCAAAAATCAGTGAAAATAAATTCCATACAAAACGCCCAAAAAGCCTTTTCAGCGAAAATTAATTCGAGCGAAAATAAAGTATCCCACAGTATACAGTATGCGCATATGGGGGGGGGGGGGGGGGTACTGGTGTACACATACCTTCACAAAACTATTAGAAAAGATTAGTAATACTGGATTCTCTATTATCTAATGTGATTAACACACATGTATGTATGAACTAAATAATTGTGTTGAATGTTTACATTGTCAGTTCTACACGTGCGACATGCCTGGACCGATTACATTCAAAATTCACACATACATCATACATAATATTATACACATGCACATCAATTTGTTTCATAATCTGATACAAGATGGCCGAATGGGGGCCATTTTTTGTACTGACAAATCATTGAAATCAAGCATTTCTCGGTAATAACTAGATAATTATTACATAATAATCTTGATAACTACATGTATTTGTATATCAGTAACCCACAGAGGCTGCGTCTGGTCAATAATTGCTTTTACTGGTTTAAAACTGCATATTGACCTCCACTTTAGTTACTATCTGTTTATTATTCACCTAGTGGTCGCATGTTCTTGAGTGTGTGCATGATGATACATCAAGTAACCAGTGATCTGCTCTAAAATGCAGATCAAATGCAATATGTAAAATTCATGGTATTCTATATGAAATTCACATATTTCCTATTTCGTGTACAAAGGAATTTTTATGAAACCTTAAAAAAACATGTGTACATGTACATGCGAGGCTTCTTTCCAGTAATGATAGAAATTGACATGGAAAATGTCTATAAAACTACACTTTCGGACTGAGCAGAACTTCATTGAGTTAGAGGAAAAAACATGCCTGATAATGTTCACTACCAGATGTAGACTAAATACATTTTGTAAAACATAAAACACATTACCCTTGGGGTCACAACCCTCAGCTGAAACAGCAGGGAAAAACAGACCTTCCATGACTGAGTGTAAAAAACAGTGTGTAAATAGAAAATACACATTTATATTAACAGTAACAACCTGGCATTTTAATCACATTGTAACAATCAGCATATGTAATTTACATCAACATTCTTTGATGGCTTTAACTAAAATCTTTGTAATTTCAGGTAAGCAGAGCAATATGACAGAATATCATCCAGAGGACTTACATCAACAGATGGCAGATGCATTTGGAGACCCCATTAGATTAAATTGTAGGCATCAAGCACCATTGAAATCAAGTCAACATAGTGGAGTAGGGGTCCCTTCATATGTATCCCAATTCCAGTCGAGTCAGTCACCTGGTTTTTCTGCTTTTGGACCCTACTCCCATCAAAGAAAATCTATGCCTTCGTCTACTCCTGGACCCTACTCCTATGAGAGGGAGTCTATGGCTCCATCTACTCCTGTACCCTACTTGCATCACAGGGAATCTATGCCTTCGTCTACTCCTGGACCCTACTCCCATGAGAGGGAATCTATGGCTCCATCTACTCCTGGACCCTACTTGCATCACGGGGAATGTAAGCCTTCGTCTACTCCTGGATCCTACTCTCAACAAAGGGAATCTATGGCTCCATCTTCTCCTGGACCCTACTTCCATGAGAGGGAATCTATGACTTCGACTATTCTCGACCCCTATTCCCAACAGAGAGAATTTATGGCTTCATCTACACTGGGACCCTACAACCAACAGAGAGAATCTACTGAATTTACTCAACGAGAGTTTCAATTTTTAGCTTGTGATACAGATTCTGAACAAACAAAATCAATATCCAAATTGACATCTGATGCCTGGTCTATTTTCAGAGATGTGTTTCATCTCCCACACCCCCATTCTCGAGAGAGAACACCAACTGGAGTGCCTGCTTCTGAACTTTCTCTACATGAGCCACAACCGCAAGATCAAGATGATGATCCCAAACTTGATCCCTATTCTTTGCAGAGGGTACCATTCATATCTGACTATGATCAATACTCTCAGCACGATACACCAGGTTTCTCATCTGATCAAAATCCTTCTTCTCAACAGAGAGTTTCTAGGCTAGGACAGCAATTAAATCACTTTCCTCAGGAAGAGCTGGTTGAACACAAGCAGTGGGATAGTCCACAGACTGATAGCAAAAAAGAAGCATTAGCTGATAAGCTGTTGGAAGCAATTAATAAAGATGACAGCACAACACCATTGGAGAAGGCTTGGTTAAAATATATGCATGTTCGGCATACACATCAAAAAAAGCCATCTATTGAAAGTGGATTTTTTGATACTTTGCCTAGTGAAACATCATCTTTGCATGGTGACCATTATTCCACAGCATCACAAATTGGTTATCACATATCCCAACAAATAGAACAAGATGATTCTAGAAGAGGGATTTATCCAGGGCAAGACCCACTGCATTCACCTGTTATCATTGATCAATATTCTCAGCAAGGAAAACCAGTTTTCTCATCTGTATCAACTGGTGATTTGCACTCCCGACATCATGATACACTTCCAAAGTCTCAACAGGAAATATCATTGTCCATGTCTACTCAGCGTAGATGTTCATTAAGCCAAGACTTAAATAGATTAGACTACATACCTCAGGATAAGCTGGTTGAACATGATCAGTGGGATAGTCCAAATACTGGTTACAAGACAGAAGCATCAATTATTAAGTTGTTTGAAGCAATTAACAAAGATGATAGCACAACAGCTTTAGAAAAAATTTGGTTAAAATATATGTGTGTTCGGCAGAAAGAGCCTCCTGGTGGTAGTGGCTTGTCTAGCCCTTTGCACAATGAAACACCATTCAGTGATGACCATTCCCATACAACATCAAGCTTTGATGAACAAAATAATTCAAGACATAGGATTGATCCTGAGCTGCACCTTCTCCCTTCCACTGTTGATAATTTTGCATCTGGCAATGCTCATTTTTCTCAAGGAACTAAAAGGTCAGCCAGCAAAGAAAAATCCTATTTTCCAAGCAATGACAATCGATCGCCTACACATCAACGCTTGTATAGTCCAGATAGAAAAAAGCAAAGGCAGTCGGTAGGAATGTTTTTATTGCCTCTGTGTGCGGAGCACACAATGGGAGTCTTTGCAGATTGTGTGTCTGTGTGTGTGTATGTGAACTGATTAGTTTTGGGTTGAAATCTGTGCTTATTTATTACCAAATTTGCATATTAAAACCATTCAACATATTTCAATAAAACTTACATAGATGTTCTGGAGCAATGTACATACCTCATTAGTTTTTGGTTGAAAACCATGCATAATTATTGACCTAATTTGCATATTAATGATCCACTTGTTTCTCAAGTACCATTCAACAGATTTTAATGAAACATGGAACATAGAAGCTCTGCGATAATATGCAAACCTGATTAGTTGAAATTCATTCATATTAATGACCTAATTTGTATATTAATTAGCCAATATTTAGCTTTTTCACCAATATATTAACCACACATCATATTTAATAAAACTTGCTACATAGATGCTCTGGAAAAATAGTTTAGGGTTAAATTATGTACTTACCGATAACATAATTTGCATAAATTAACCAATTAAAAGGTGTTCCACAGATAACTTGAGTAATAATGATGAATAATAATAATAATGAAACTATATACATGGTTGGTTTTTGATAATCCACGGATCTGATTACTTCAGGGCTGACATCCATGCATATTAATTACAGGTTTAGTATAAATAGTTTCATGTGTCCTTAATATGCATAACTGTAATGTACTAAACACTGCTGCAAACACTGTTGCAGAT